CAACTGCCTTCTTGGCAGTCTATCAGACGTGCGGCCGGCGAGTTTAGTACCTCTGCCTGGGAATTGGCCTTTCGTTTTGGACAGAGCACAACAATACATGGCGTAAATCGGTTGTTTAGCCGTAGAGCCGGAAAATATGAGCGGTGAGTAGTAGTGGACGTAGATGCATCCGCAGCTTTTTCGAATTCTAAAAATTCTGCGTTTTTTTTTTTTTTTTTTTGTTAACTCTACAGTTTCGTTTGGTTCTTGACCGTCATGATGGCCTTACTTGGCGCCGTCTACGTCAGTCACTTACTCTCCGAACGCTTCACTGAGGGCAGACTGGAGACTGTGGTCGATAGCACGCGTAAACCCGTTTATCATATCCCATTTCCAGTGGTGGCCGTTTCTAATGCGAATTCACTCAATTGGGAACGTTTTGAAGAAGCCAAAACGCGTTTTCTGCAACCCAACGAAACACCAGAAAATCAGCAAATCTTCGAACTCATAGTCGCCAGTTATGATACTGTAAAATTTGCAGAGTTTGAAAGTTTCAGTAAATTGCAAAATGTGTCTGTCGAGCAGCTAAATTATGTTAACTTCAGTCAAGTGGTTGAGTTCATGACGTGGCGTTGTGAAGAGCTTTTAAGTCAATGCTTCTGGAATCGCTTCTCTATGAGCTGTTGTGATATATTCTCACTGCGACGCAGTAAAAATGGCTTGTGTTGGGCTTTCAATACACTGGAAACGGAAGCTGGACGTGAAAAGCAAAAAACCGATGTACTATGGCCTTGGCATACTGGTGCTGCGGGTCCGGGTAGTGGTTTGAAGGTGCGCGTACATTTAAATCCGGAAAAACACTATCCGAAAAGTAACAGCGAAAAGGGTGTGCTGGTGAGTAGCAGAATAATTCGGTGCTGCTCAGAAGTAACGACATACATACCTTGAATTCAAAAGATTAAAAAATCGTACTACTGTTAAGTGACTCGTGTCTATAATTCTTGTCTAATTCATCTCTAATACTCACTAGGTAGTGATCAAGTGATCCTCACTACTTACTTTGGTAAGAATTGGACCTCGACTAGACAAGGACATGAGCGACTTAATAGCAGTAAGTGTTTCTATTGTTTTGAATTGTGAATTGTATCGTTATTGCTAAGGAGCATCAACTTAGGCTTTCAATAGTGATGTTACTGACACGCTAAAAAATTCACTCGAACAGGTTATGATTGCGGAGCCGAGTGTATGGCATCAAGACGCTTTGAACATACCAGCAAATACTCGCACAATGATCGAAGTGGAGCCTGTCACCTACTACTATGACAATAACACGCGTGGATTGGGCTCGAAGTTGAGGGAGTGCATTTTCGATGTAAGCAAACAAATGACAATAACTAATTCATAGCAGTTTTAATTAGAATTAAATTTACTAAGAATAATTAGGTTGCACAATGTCGAAAGTAGGCCAAAATTCTACAAGCAAAGATATTGAGAAAGTTTATCGTTTTCATATGCACAAGTCAACTTTGGACTGAATTATTTGTCAAACATTGCACTGAAGGAAACTTTCTTAAATCAAAATTAACACACACAAAAAAATAGTTCGAACTTTTTCAGTAGTTCACTACATAATATTTTCAGGCAAAAAAAGGAAAATAAGTGAAACACCCTACATTTGCAGGCAATTCGGTAATAATGTACACTTCTGTCTGGGAAAGACTCGTAAAATTAGCTAAATAGACTCATCTTTTTACGAAAAAGGGGTCAGAGAACTCAACTCAACTCCGTATAATCACAGTCCTATCTTAACTTGTAAAGCAAACAAGAGACTATACTTTCACGTCCAGTGGATGTTTCTTTCAAAGAAAGTAAGTGCGCCTGGGCCACACTGGAGAAGTGAAACTTACGTTACATATCCAGTTTGTCACACAATCGATAAAAAATCGATATCTTATTCTATAACAAAATCGATGACAAAATCGTAAAAATATCGATAACAAAATCCATAAAAATATAGATAACAAAATCGATAAAAGTATCGATAAAAAATATCGATACCAATATTGATAGCTAAATCAATAGCAGTATCGATAAAAAATATCGATAACAAAATCGATTATTATGTCGATAAGTCCCGAAAATATCGATCACTAAAATCCCGAAATAGTTCCCAAATTGGTCCCTGTGTCTCTATCTATATACATATATCCTTTTCTCTATACTTACCTTTATTTTAATCTTTCTTCCTCTATCTTCATCTTAATTGGTCTTTTTCTAAGTGTTATTCTTTAACCTTTTATTAGCAAGTTTTCGTTAAATTAATACCATGTGCATACACTCAAGAAGCATTTGTTTCAGCCCCAATCATTTCAGTGTGCAATTTCCGTGTGCAAATTCCGTTGCACCATTTCCGTGTGCAATTTCCGTTGAATTTGCCAAGTTACTCCTAAACAACCAACCGCCGCTAAGGAAGTTTCACTTCAAAAACTTAGTTCTTGCAGTAGGACTGAGGAGGAGAACTTCCGTGTGGCATTTTAATTCGCCAGTCTTTAATTTATCTAGTCGAATGTTATCTTCTTGCTGTATGAGGTTAGACTATAGTAGATACGATACTCTAAGGAGAAATGATTCGTGAGGAATCAATCTTCAATGAAAATAGTCTCAACCAAACCTGCACTACCAACTTAATTCTGGCAGGCCTTGTATGTACTCCAATACCTACTCTGGTTTAATGAAACAGTGGCGAATGAGTCGTTGAATATGAAGCCGTTTAACTAAATTTCTCATTTACCAACCCATAGCCAAAGATAAACAGTATATCCTCAATCTGGCGCCTATGGAGTGGGCAAGATGCCTATTCATTAGAAGTTCTTAGGGCAAATCAAAGCTTAGTATTCGTAATATTCCCAACACTTCATCGTTAAAGCTACGGACTAGACACCACAAGTTTGTTCCTTGTCTTCACAATGCAGCATCGCATCCTAAAAGTAAAGAACCAGCAGCAGGCATGAATCCTTCAACTAGATTCTGGGTTTGTTTAGATGATTTCTTAATGTGCAACAAATTATTAAGATACTTGTTTGAATACATAATTAGATAGGGTAGTAAATTTGTAATTTCTTTTTTCTTATTTTATCAGTCCTATGGTCCACATATCTCGTTTTAGTGCAGTTTTCGGTTCGTTATTCCCTTTTTCAACACATTTTATTTTTTATTTTGTGGTTCTATTGCAAATAAGGACTGCATTAGAGCCTTCTTCGGGGTTTAAAAAAGTTTTGGCCGCACTATGGTTTAGTATTTGATCTACGTGTACGAGTAAATGAAATTTTTCTTATTCAGTCTCTCCTCACTATAGTTCGCATCTGACGCCTTCAGTCCTGTATTTAAAAATTCGTTATCAAAAGAATTGCATTAGATTTAATAATTACATTAAATTTAAGTAAAGTTTATATTTTTCCCCCACAATTTTCTTCAATTTTGTCCTCATTCCAAACGCTCACCTCAAAAGGATGAAAATAACAGCAAGAACTTTCGCACGCTCCAGGGTTACGTTTATATGATTGAAAATTGCCAATCAGAGTGTCATCAACAGTACTTGGTGAAATATTGTAATTGCACAATGGATTTGCTATTTCCACCTGGTAAGCACGTACAAGCCATCAAAAAATGCATCTCATACTCAGCGATCGGCAGTAAAAGCATTTGTACATCCACCCACACATACTCCAACGCACCTACGGTGGCGAGAATGTAAATGGGTAAAGCGCATTTTAGCAAGTTTTGGCCACTTTCTTTGTTTAAAAAATTTGTATTACTTTTTGCTATCTAAAAAAACCATGCTAATCAAAATTTCAAACTTTGTAGAACATTTATAAAAATGCGACGAATTTCAACAAATGTTGATCAAAATTTTAAACTTTTTAAACAGATTTTTTAAATTTTTTTCATTATGCAGTTTTGCAGTCCTTTCTGTTTTAAAAGTATTACAAAGTGCAAGTTTGAAGTAGCGCATTTTTTTTTCAATACAAACTGTGCTCGACAGTTTTTTTCGTATAGAGAAAGTGCGCAACACCTTCCACGAAAAAAATTGCCAAAAATCAATGACAAGTTTTACCTACTCAAAAATTGCACTTTTTTATACCAAAATTTAATGGGCTATAAAACTGCATATTCAGAATGTTTATATGAAATCTTAAAATGTTGATGAAATCTTGCCGAATTTCGTTAATTTTTGTACAAAGTTTGAAATTTTGACTTGCATGGTTTTTGTTGGATAACGAGCTACACTTTCATAAAGAATAACAAACATTAAATAAACGAAAGGGAAATAACCAAAGAACGCTAGAATATCTCTTTCCTATTCATATTTTCGCCACTGTACATATGTACATTTATGGATGCCAATGCCTTCTTCAGCGCATTTCCGCCAACTTAAAATCGTACCTTGTAACTCTTACAGGTCCGTATCCCACTTGCAAGGCAAAGGATTTGCTGTGTTTAGCGCAGAATAACGGTAACACTTCAATCGAATTGTTATTTACCATTTCATGCACTCACTTTCAAATCACTCCTCTTTAATCACTCACATGTTCTTCACTCTTATCTCTCTCATACCTCAAATTTTACCTAATTAAATACTTCTTGCAGAACGTTTTATGTATTCTCACAGTGAGGAAGAGGAGAAGTATGTACACAACTATCATGATGGCATGGTTTGTGAGTGCTTTCGCAATTGTTATTCGCTAAATTATTTGGCGGATGCACGTGCCTCATTTCTACCGTCGGAAACGCGCGGCAATCTGTCATATGTTGATTTAGATGTGCATTTCCGTTTCGAAACGATGATGGTCTATCGCACAAGTTTGATATTCGGTTGGGTGGACTTAATGGGTGAGTGTTGAGTTTATGCAAATGGTGATGATGTGAGATATTATGTTACATTGTTTAGTAATTCCAGTTAATAAAATTTTCAAATTATGTATGTACTTATAGTCGCCTTTGGTGGCATTGCTGGACTCTTCCTTGGCTGTTCGCTGATCAGTACAATGGAATTGGCATACTTTTTGCTAGTTGATCTGCCCACATTTTTGCTTCAGAAATATCGCAATAATAAGTGTAAATCACAACATGCATCTGCACCAATTCAATTGAAAAATAATATCAAGCAAATACATCAGCTGAATATGAAAAATCAACTCATTCAACCGCAAAGCTACGAAAGTCTCTTCTATAATAGCAAAATGAGTCGAAATTTGCCACAAATTGCCGATTGGCAGACTCAGCACATAGCGAAGATAAGTTATTAGTGGGAGATCTACATATGTATGTATGAAGTTACAGATATCTATTGTAAACATAAATACTTATTAGATATACATATGTATATTGAAAACCAAGTTTATTTGTGTGTACACATAAATGCTAAAATACTAGCCTACTTATTGTTGTGTTGTTGTTATAATACATCAAAGCTACAATACAATTACAATTACATACATATGTAAGTACTTGATCACAAGAATAAACTGACATGTAATAACATAAGCGCACATATCAATGTGACAATGTCACTTGTCAGGTTTGGTTTTTTTTGGTACCCCTAGGGATTTTCCGAGCTTTACGGTATTTTTCGGAATATTTTAGAATCTTTCGGCATGTGCCAGAATTTTTCCCAACTTCTAATTGCAGTAGCCTACAAAAATTTACTTTTTTGAAGTGGAACTACTTTAGTGGCGATTGGTTGGGTAGGGAGTAAATTGGCAAATTCAACGGAAATTGCACACGAAAATGGCTGGGACGGAATCAGACTTATTTAGATAAAGACCAATACAATAATGAAAGTAAAGGTGAGTACGCACATACATAGATGAAGAAAAGGATAAAGGCAAAAGTAAAATTAAGAACAACAATTAAAGATGTATAAGTCCAGGCGAAAATGAATTTTATATACCCGGCGCAGGTATCAAGGGTGTTTATTCCGATTTCAAACGTTTTCGATAATATACTGACATAATGAAATCATTCAATCAAGTTTGGTAGAAATCGATAAAGCGGTTACCGAGATCGACCTTTGTAGTCATAAAGTGGGCGGTGTCACGTTCAATTCCTAAAATTCCTATAACAGTCTTATTAATTGTTAAGAGACTGTTGTAAGTATTAACTTGGAGTTAATTAGTGTTGTCAGTTTTTTAAATATCGGAGTTTTTGAAATTTACCATTATGCGGGAAGGGGGTGTAATTTTAGTCCGATTTGAATAATTTTCAACAAATTGCTTTTCCGTACCAAGGTTATAAGGTGTACCAATTTTGGTTGAATTCGATGAATCGGTTACCGAGATACACATTTGTGGTCATAAGTGGGCGGCGCCACGCCCATTATCCACAAAATTTATAATAGCCTAATTTTCTGGCAAGTGATTATGCAATTGTCGATTTTGAGTGAATTAGCTTCAATAATTACTGATTTCTCGAAGTTCTCGTTTTTCTGTAAATTACCGTTATATGGGAGGTGGGCGTGGTTATTACCCGATTGCCAAGATTTTCAACAGATTTCTTAGCTAAACCCTAAACATGGATCGCACCGAGTTTGGTAGGGATTGGTGGAGCGCCTTATGAGATACAGCATTTCATCATAAGTGGGCGGGGTCACGCCCATTTTCCAAAAATTTCATAATAGTTTTATTCTCCACCATAATTCCACTTCACGTACTAATTTTCAACAATTTTGATTCAATATTTACTGAAATATCGTAGGTTTTGTATTTTTCGAAAATACCGTTATATGGGAAGTGGGAGTAGGGTTGTTAACCGTACTATATACTATATATAGTATTGTACTATTTTTTGGGTCTGCGTACTATATACTGTTGGAAAAAAATATGGTATGCAAAAATTACTGTATTTCTTCAATTATAAATATAAATGTATTTCAGTCATTTGTAAGAAAGAAATATTAAAATAAATATACTTTAAAACAAACAGATCAAAAGTATCAACGTTTTTAAAAATACTTAGAAAATTTACCAAATTTACTTGAAGAGTTTTTTCTATTAAGATATTAAAATGGTAAAATGAGAAAAATAAAGCGAATATCTGACTAATAATCTCTCAAAAATGAACTTTTGATTTATATTAATTTAAATGTTAATAGCGATAAAGCATATGATACTTTCAAAGAAATATATTTTATATTATATTTGTATTATATTAAAACATTTTTACTTTTTCTTTAAAAAAAAAATACCATATATGTTTGAAGTGTACTATATTTTTTCTGATTTTTTTTGAAAAAGTACTATAAATTTCTTAGAAAATGTTGGCAACCCTAAGTGGGAGTGGCCTTTACGTTGTATGAAAAATTTTACATGCATGAATCCAAAATGTTTCGCACAGAATTATGTGAGGTTGAGGATATAAATAAATACGGAATTAATCTAACACCCTTCAGGTTACTCTTAGTGGTTGGTACCGGGTTGAGCTTTTTCGGCCAAAAATGACGAAATTACATTGCTGTTAAAAAATTTCTCATGCACATACAACTTGTATGGGACCAACCGAAATTGAACGGGGTGCATATAGTGTGTTTGCATTGTTCAACATTTGCGTTCAACTCAGCGCACGGTTGCACGAAAAAAAAGTTAAATGGCTAAAAATATCAAAATATGAAAAAATATCAAAATATTCGCCATAAAAAGGTGGTTGCATTGTTCAACTTTTGGTTGAACGGCCTTTCAACAAATCGCTTTCAACAAAGTTGGTCGCCAGCCAACATTTAGCCATTCAACTTTTTTTTACGTGCAACCCTGCGTTGAGTTGACCGCAAAGTTGAACAATGCAAACTCTGCTATATGAAGCTAACTCAATTTCCAATTCTAAATTATTCGGTTTAAGATACCACTGAAGTCTGCAGCGTCTGTTTACCAGTAGGTGCGGCTGCAATCGGATGTCTGTCCTGGAGCATCGAGGTAAAGTACCTTGATTCGTTTAATATCATGTATTGATTAAAGATAGGTTTTTAACAGTAATATTATGCACCATTCCATGAATATATAAAACGCTTGGGGCTCTAAGGTAGCTGAGAGAAGATATAGAGCCTTTAATTTAGTCTCTCGAAAACTCTAGCCTCTCTTAAATTTCGTATTTTAACTCCGTATTTTGCTAACTTAATCGCCGATATTAAAACTTAAGCGTAACATCGATGGTGAGATTATTGTCATACCATTAAATAGCTTCACATGTGTTGATAAATAAAATTGGGTTAACAATATATCACTTACCGCCACGTATTTGTAGTAGAGATACGAGTTTTTTTTTTACTATCATTACAGCGATTCAACTCCCTCTCCCTGTGTTCAAACACTGATTGAGTGGAAAAATATTTACATTTGCTATTATTATTTATTATTCTAGATTAGATTGTCTTGTGTAAACACAGTGACTCAAACAAGTGTTGACGTGTGTTTTTTTTTTTTAATATTCACAAAGTTTTCCAACTTAAAATTCTTTTGTTATTTTTTTATTAAAATAAAATTCACAAAGGCCCTAACCAACAAACTTTTTATTTTACGGGTGAATCAAAAAACATTATAAAAAGAGTATCAACAACAGGTAGGTCTTTTAAAAAGTGGCAGGTAACTCCATTGTTTCTGGTACTACCACTTTAAAGTTTTTATTGAAGGTGCATTTAATAAAAAATCTCGAAAAAACGGAGTTTCGAAAAATTTGTTGATTAAATAGGTCCTTTGTGAATTAAGGTAATGAAATGTGAGGCTCTGCAGTATCTTTGCTGTTCTAATGTTGTGCGAACTAAACACAGCCACGAACAAGTTTCCCCGAGGGAATTGCGGAATTAATGGGTGTGCCTTTTTTGTGTTTGATAAGAGTATGAATAACCAGGCACGGCGTCTTTTAGGACATAAGTTTGACACTCGTTAATCGTGAAACACAATCAAACGATCCTTCAGCCTCTAGAGATTTTGTGACTTTGTCGAGACCGTGAGAATGAAGTGAGATTCCGCGACAAACCATAGCCACTTTGTTGGTTTAATTTCATTTTTTGTTTTAAGATTCAGCTTTAAATTTGAGGTACTTTCCCTTATCTGAATAAATTAGACCAACTGTGCGCTCCTTATTAGTGTAAGAAATGGTGTAAAAAAAAGGACTGTAATGTATTTTTATCCAGAGATCAGTGGTGACTTTTGATCCCGAACTCGGGCGAACCGACAGTCGGACGCTCAACAACAGCCGGGATGATGTGAAGTGGTGAGGAGATTGCGGGCGAAGTTTGGGGTCGAAACACACAAAAAACCACTGGCCACTGCCGACCATAGTAGGGGTGTGGGGGTGAATACGATCGCCGGCCCCTTAACACCGTTGGCAGCTTATGGCCTACGAATAAGTTTGTCTATTCGAGAGTCAGACCGGTGGTGTACTTGGCAATCTCATCTGCTATTTCATTACCCCCTATATCCTTGTGGCCGGGCACCCAATAGATATGCAGCCTTCTATCGGCGACTAGCCTGTTAATGGGTTAAGAGGTAGTCACACTTGGTAACTTTGAAATTAGTCTTTCGAAAAACCGCTGCATTTATTTGCTTCCGGGCATTCCCTAGCATACAGACAATAACTAAAAGTCAATAATTACAACACACATAGCCAAATACGCGAGGGAATTTCACCGGAAGCGGAATAGCATCAAATTGTAAATACTCGTAGCTGCGTGGTCATAAATCAATAAGCGTTTGACATACATACATACTTACATACATATCTAGTAAGCAATTTTTGGATAATTTAGAGAGTTCGACTTTCATTGTTAACTCAGTATGCAACTGGACAACAACAAGTAGCGAGCAAGGGATTAAATAGCTTGTCCACCACACTTACAAGCGCCACTACAAAAGATGAAGTCACAACCATCGTGGAAGAAATTGAAACCTTTAGCTGGTGAGTTTAGCAGCTCCTTCTGGGAGTTAAGCACACGTTTCGGACAGAGCTCAACAATACATGGCGTGAATAGGTTGTTCAATCCAAAAGCGGGAAAATGTGAGCGGTGAGTTAAATCCCAGCGCAGAAGAAAATTACGCGCTCGCAAATTAATGTCTGTAAAACCGATGATTTTCTCTTGACCGTAGCTGCATTTGGTTGCTGACCATAATGGTTGCCTTATTCGGCAGCATTTCTATTTGTATTTTAATTTCGGCGCGCTACACCGAAGGTAAACTGGAGACAGTGATTGATGCCACTCGCAAGCCCGTTTACGAAATTCCATTTCCCGTAGTGACCATTTGTAATAATAATGCACTTAACTGGCAACGTTTCGAAGCAGCAAAGCAACGTTTTCTCAAACCCAACGAAACACCAAAAAACCAAGATATCTTCGAACTAATAGTCGCCAATTATGATAATCTAAAATTTGGTACCTTTCAAAATTTCGGCAAATTACGAAATCTATCCGTCGAACCGATGAATTATGTTAACTTCAGTCAAGTCATCGAGTTCATGACGTGGCATTGTGAAGAGCTTTTAAGTCAATGCTTCTGGAAGCACTTTGCTGTTAATTGTTGTGATATCTTCTATTTGCGACGCAGTAAAAATGGTCTATGTTGGGCTTTCAATACGCTGGAAACGGAAGCGGGTAGGGAAAGGCAAAAGCTCGATCCATTATGGCCATGGCATTCAGGCGATGCAGGTCCAGAAAGTGGTCTAACGGTGCGCGTACTCATTAATGAGGAAAAGCATTATCCAAAAAGCATAAATGAAAAAGGTGTGCAGGTATGTACGTACATACATAAGTGAGAAAATACATATGTAAACTTTCAAAGCGCTATGTGGCTTAAACATTTCACTCGAGCAGGTGATGATTACGGAGCAAAATGTATGGCACTTCGAACCTTTGAGCATACCAGCGAATACTTACACAAACTTGGAAATAGATCCTGCGATATATTCTCATGACTCTAATACACGTCGATTGGGTCCAATATTGCGGAAATGTTGGTTTAATGTAGGTTGAATAATTTTAAGAAATATATTTCGCGCGTTTATAGATAAAAAAAAATAAGGAAAAAAATGCTCAAATAGGTTAGGCAGCCAGTCCTTTGATAGATGATACAGTTTTCTTTAGAATGAGTTTGCATGAAAAAAGTCGATTAATCGATAAAATATATTATTTCTTTGGAAAAATCGATAAATCGTTTATTGCACTTCAAACAGGAGATCGAATTTAATTAAACTGTTTTCAGAAACATCGATTATTCGGTTATTTTGTTAATAAATCATGCAAAAAAAAAAAATCAGTGGTAATAAACTAAGTATGTAGGTTAATCGACCATGACTACACAAATCAAGGAAAATTATTTAGTATGTATAAAATAAATTCGCACCAAGAAGTATAAATAAAATCGATTAAACAGCCATAAATTATCTAAATCGATTTGTCAATTATGAATCGCCTAAATTAAAATTCGAATGGAAAAATCGGTGAATCGATTATTTCTGATTTATCGATTAACTGACAACAAGTTTATGCGAGTAATCGATTTTGAAGGATAAATAAAATCGATAAAACGGCCATAAATTAAATCGATTAATCGACCAAAAAATCTATTGGAAAAATCGTTGAATCGATAATTTCTTATTTATCGATTAATTGACAACAAGTTTATACGAGTAATCGATTTTGAAGGAAAATTATTTAATTTGGACAAAGTATATTCGCACCGAAAAGCATAAATAAAATCAATTAAATGGTCATAAATTAAATCGGTTTGTCAGTTAGGAATTACATAGGAAAATGGTAATAATCGACCAAAAAAAAAATCAATTGGAAAAATCGTTGACACGATTATTTCTTATTTATCGATTAATTGACAACAATTTTATACGACTAATCGATTTTGAAGGAGAAAATAATTCTCCTTGGACAAAGTAAATTCGCACCGAGAAGTATAAATGAAATCGATTAAATGGCCATAAATTAAATCGAGTTGTCAGTTATGAATTAGGAAAAATGCAATAATCGACTAAACAAATCGATTAGAAAAATTGCTGAATTCCTTATTTATCGATTAATTGACAACAAGTTTTATCAATTATTTGACAACCAATTTAAACGATTAACCGATTTTTAATTCTTAAAAAAAATAATCGATCAGAATCACTTATCGCAAATTGGCGATTAATAGACCATAATTATATCGATTACTAACTAAAAGAAAAAAATGATCTCCCTGAATTAATTTTAAAATTTGTTTATAAATCTATTCAGCTCAAAGAAAATTATTGGCAAAAAAATACAGCGTCGGCAATAAATTAAACCGATCGATTTATTTTGAGTTGACCAAGAGGACGGATTCGAGTAGCTATAACATAAACAAGCCTAAAAAGATGCTTGAATCGATCATTTCGACTATATTTTAAAGAAAAATGTAGGTGGATGCAAAATTAAGCTGTCAAAAAACTAGAAAATGCATATATCGCCAGAGAAATAATAGCTGAATCGCTAGTTCAAAAAAAAAAAAAATTATTAACCATTATTTCTCTAAGAAAAACCGTTTGTGAAATAAAATGGATGGCACAAAATTAAATCGATTTATATATTATCGAAAAATATGTCCGCATGGAAAAAATTGATTAATCGATTAACTAATAAATTACTTTGATTAATCGATTTCAAAGAAATTTGTGAATTCACTTCATTCGCCTACAAAAATCTTTGGCAAAAGAAAAACGAATTAATCGAAAAAATCGACTAAATCGACTAAATAATACATGAGCATGAAAAAAAGTCGATGAAGCGATTATCATTAATAACTAAAAAAAATTCTTATACATAGTTTTCTTATCATTCTTTCTGCACTTAAATAGGATGAAATTTATAGCGAGAACTTTCGAACACTTCAAGGCTACGTTTATATGATTGAAAATTGTGAATCGGAATGTCATCAACAATATTTGGTGAAATATTGCAATTGTACAATGGATTTGCTATTTCCACCTGGTAAGCACGAATATCCAAGAAAAAAAAAAAACACATCAATAGCTCATCATTCATTATTAATTAGTCCAATTACCTACGCATTTACTAAGTCGCATCAATTCACTCCTCAGCGCATTTTCATATTTAAAATTCAGTTTTTATGTTATGTTTCAGGCCCTTATCCCATCTGCAAGGCAACCGATCTGTTATGCTTGGCACAGAATAACGGTAACTTAACATGATTTCGATATTTTTTGTTATGTTATATCTACAGTTTTCTTCAATGTTTCCCACCTATGCACTTCACACATCCTTTTAGATCGCTTCGCCTACTCCCAAAAAGGTGATGAGCGGCTGTACGTGCACAACCATCAAGAGTATATGATTTGTAATTGTCTTCTAAATTGCTATTCACTAAATTATGCGGCGGTTGCACGTCCCTTACTTGTTCCAGCGCTGAGACGCAGTAATAAGTCATTCATCGAATTAGACGTACATTATCGGCTTGATATAATGATGGTCTATCGCACCGGTTTAGTATTTGATTGGGTAGATCTTATGGGTGAGTTTAAGTATTTCGAAAAAAAAAATGCTGATGGTTACACTCGTGTTATTGCTTACCTGAAAATATTTTTCAGCTGCCTTTGGCGGCATTGTTGGTCTTTTTCTCGGTTGTTCGCTGATTAGTACCATGGAATTGGCCTATTTTCTTCTGATGGATCTTCCCAAGTTTGTACTACGCAAATATTGTTTTAATAAGAATAAATTACAAAGTAAACAGCAACTGCTTGAGAATCGTTTACGTAAGAAAAATATTAGTAAGCACACCCGTCAGTTGAATATGAAAAACAAAATCATGCAACAACAAAGCTACGCAAGGGTTTTCTATAATAACCAAATGCATAAAAAACTGGCACATAATTTTGACTCGAATATAGATATGTATGTAGAATAAGAGACAAGAATATTATTATTTAAATTATTATTATTAAAGTTATTAAAAGTTAAAGTTATTAAACTTGCTTGAAAATTATTTTGAAAAAAAATCTTTCCTTCTGATTGGACCAAACTGAGACCTTTGTTAGATCTGCTATTCTTTTTTAGACAAGTCAAAGTTTTTTTTTTTAAGGAGTGAGCTGGTCGGGTCGACTCGTAGCTGTGTTTCGTCTATGATACGCACACGAGCGTTCGTTCTTCTGCCACACGAATCATTCTTCAGTTGGTATTACGAATTAAAAGTTTTCATCTGGCAACACGAAAGTAACTGATCGTTACGTTATTTTCGTCTCCTTTTCTAACCCGAAAAAGAGACGAAAGGGAGACGAACAAACGAAAGTTTATAAGTGATCGTCGAGATGGAACGTTGAGCCAAAAAAAAATTAAATACAGTGAAAAATTTATAATTTTCAACCAAAAAAAATGTAACCATTATAACAAATAGTAATAATTTCTGTTTTCAACACTTGAAAAAACCACAACAACACGATTTGAGGTGTTCGTTCAAGTGATGGACCAAAATCCGGATCTGGCAAGATGAGAGTGTTTTTCGAAATATTTCCAGTATTTTCCGCTGCTTTTCTAGTTTTTTTTCGCATTTTTTCGAACCCTAGAGAACTTTTTTGAAGCTTTTCTTATAAATTTTTAAGCGTTTTTCGCGACTTTTCGGAAGACTTTTGCATTTTTTGGGGACTTCACGATCTTTTTCGGCGATGTCTCAGCAATCTTCAAATTTTTTTGCCCGACATTTCGGGGTTTTCCTGACCCTTCTCTTCATGTTGTTTTCGATAACTTTCGGGACTTTTCGAAATATTACGATTTTTCGAGATTTTCGAAATCATTTTGTTTTTCTTTCGGACAGCGCGGAATTTTTCAAATGTTCTTCGTAATATTTCGGAAGTTTTCTTAACCCTTCATATTTTGTTCGAAATCTTTCGGAACACTTCAGAATTTTAGCTTGATTTTTCGGAATTCCTTTTAATTTTTTTTAGACTTCACCAAAATTTTTGGCATTTTTACAGAACTTTTCAGTTATTTTTGTGGCATTTCATAGCTTTTCTTAACTCCTTCATGTTCTGTTCGAGACCTTTGGGAACTCTGCGGAATTGTAACGGGATTTTCGGAATTCTTTGTTATAATTCCGACTTTACAGAATTTTCCCAGCTTTTTTCAGAACTTTGCAGAATTTCGATGTGATATTTCGTGTTTCTTTTTTGTACTTGGTTTTGTGTCATTCACAACCTTTCGTTACTTTTCGGAATTTAATTGCGATTTTTCGGTAGTATTTTCGAGACCTTTTGCCAGTTTAAGTGACTCTTCTTTTTTTGTTTGAAACTTTTATCAATTTCTAGGGAGTTATCTGGTCCAAAAAAAAATTTGTATTCAAATGCAAAAATTATCGTTGTCTATAGTATGCTAAAAGGTTTTGAGCATGAAGAGCATTCTATGCAATCTTTGAAAAAAAAAACGAATTATTACCGACTTTTTTAGTTCATCATAAGGTATAATCCAAAATTTAACTCTAGTTACTCCCATTTCTGTTCCCCGTACTAAACAATTTCATAGCTGCATATAATTTATACGAAAAGGTATGTATGTGCTGCTTAATGCTTAGTCCCTTCGCGCAGCATATGTATGCTAACAAAATACGGTAATTTTTCAAGTCTCCTCAATTTGTTATATGTAAATGTAATGTGTCGCCTCCTTATCACCGCCAGTAAAGTACTATGTACTGAACACTAAACGCAACTGCTACTTACTCGCCCACGTTGATTACCATCAATTGATGAGCACTGCTTCCGTTCAACCTGCTTGCCATTCATGTAACGGGTGATTTTTTTGAGGTTAGGATTTTCATGCATTAGTATTTGACAGATCACGTGGGATTTCAGACATGGTGTCAAAGAGAAAGATGCTCAGTATGCTTTGAAATTTCATCATGAATAGACTTACTAACGAGCAACGCTTGCAAATCATTGAATTTTATTACCAAAATCAGTGTTCGGTTCGAAATGTGTTTCGCGCTTTACGTCCGATTTATGGTCTACATAATCGACCAAGTGAGCAAACAATTAATGCGATTGTGACCAAGTTTCGCACTCAGTTTACTTTATTGGACATTAAACCAACCACACGAATGCGTACAGTGCGTACAGAAGAGAATATTGCGTCTGTTTCTGAGAGTGTTGCTGAAGACCGTGAAATGTCGATTCGTTGCCGTTCGCAGCAATTGGGTTTGTGTTATTCGACCACATGGAAGATTTTACGCAAAGATCTTGGTGTAAAACCGTATAAAATACAGCTCGTGCAAGAACTGAAGCCGAACGATCTGCCACAACGTCGAATTTTCAGTGAATGGGCCCTAGAAAAGTTGGCAGAAAATCCGCTTTTTTATCGACAAATTTTGTTCAGCGATGAGGCTCATTTCTGGTTGAATGGCTTCGTAAATAAGCAAAATTGCCGCATTTGGAGTGAAGAGCAACCAGAAGCCGTTCAAGAACTGCCCATGCATCCCGAAAAAATGCACTGTTTGGTGTGGTTTGTACGCTGGTGGAATCATTGGACCGTATTTTTTTCAAAGATGCTGTTGGACGCAACGTTACGGTGAATGGCGATCGCTATCGTTCGATGCTAACAAACTTTTTGTTGCCAAAAATGGAAGAACTGAACTTGGTTGACATGTGGTTTCAACAAGATGGCGCTACATGCCACACAGCTCGCGATTCTATGGCCATTTTGAGGGAAAACTTCGGAGAACAATTCATCTCAAGAAATGGACCGGTAAGTTGGCCACCAAGATCATGCGATTTGACGCCTTTAGACTATTTTTTGTGGGGCTACGTCAAGTCTAAAGTCTACAGAAATAAGCCAGCAACTATTCCAGCTTTGGAAGACAACATTTCCGAAGAAATTCGGGCTATTCCGGCCGAAATGCTCGAAAAAGTTGCCCAAAATTGGACTTTCCGAATGGACCACCTAAGACGCAGCCGCGGTCAACATTTAAATGAAATTATGATGAAACCGATGAGATTTTGCAAATTTTATGCGTTTTTTTTAAAAAAAAAGTTATCAAGCTCTTAAAAAATCACCCGTTAGCATATGTACATACATACGTACAACATACATACTTGCATGCGACTACCTTCAGCTTTTTGCACTTTGCCTTGTTGACAACTCCATTTGGCAGACATTGTTAATCAAAATTGAGGTTAAAGCGCAACGTAGCATGCCCGTCATAGCTACACACATAGTACGTTATGGATATTTGTGTGCGCGTCGATATATATGTATAAGGAACCTGAAATTTTAGGATGACATCTAAATTAGCATCCCCTGAGGGCGTCGCTTAGAAAACGCCCCGAAAGAAATTTTTCACAAGGTTGCGCGTACATACTTAAATATGCGTGTACATTAGGATGGCCCAAAAATGAAGTGTGAAAAAGTTAAATCGGAATTTCAATGCTCTCAACCCCTGGACTTGTTCTTTACTATAGAAAAATATCAAAAATACGCTCAAAGTTTTCCATTTATTTTATATGGGAAAAAATCAATTTTTCGCCGAAGTGGTATAGAAGTATTGAAAATCTATATTTTGCGGTCAGAAAACTTTGCTCTCTTCTGGAAACTTCCAATAATAATACCCAATTGTTTATTTTACCATTTTTTAATACTATAGATTTTGTATGAATACGCCTATTGCATTTCTGGGGGTTTTTAGGGGTCCCATAAAAAATAGTTATATCAAAAACTGATAAAACAAATACTTCGGTATTAAAAATGAAAGTCTCCTCAAAATAAACAAAGCTTTCCGATGGAAAAATAAAGATTTTCAATCATTCTATACCATTCCTACGTAAAATTTATTTTTTCCCCTATAAAATATATGGAAAACTTTGAGGGCTTTGAGCGGCCTCTAAATATTGTTTTTTTTTTATTAAAAAAAAAATGGGGGTATAATTTTTTCGGTATAGAACAATTCTATAAGTAAGAACTTTAAAATTCTGACCGTACTTTTTTAGGACCACGCTAATGTACTCAAGCATGTATATATATGCGCCTCGCAATATACATACTTCCAAGCTAGTCTGCCTTCTAGCCATGATTGCCATTGACCATAAGTTGTGTTGCAATTAACCTGCTGGCCGTTGGCTGATAGCTTTAAGTGCACACAGTTGTAAATACATATACACATACATACATATCCATCTGTGTATGAGTGAGCATATGCTTCATATGTAGTAGGTAACTCCTTGGTAGCAATAAATGTCCCTAAGCATTAATGGCATCACAAAAACACTTGTCGTCTTAACTATTTTGGGGATTTTGGGAATTGCAAATGTCTTACAGGCGTCAAAGGGCATTTATAATGCAACAATGTTATTCCAAATTGCCAAAATTTGGCTCTCTGCTATTTGAAATACACGACGAGAATTTTTGATAGTTTGAAAAGATTTGTATCCAAAAAATATGCTAAATATTCAGCAAATGAAAGGTTGGCATGCAATTTCTAATACAAAAGTTCGGTTTAAGAATTTGAAGCCTTCAAAATATTTTTCTCCTTAAAGTCTAATACAATCACAAGTTCCCAACCTCAACGTCAGTTGTCAAAATGTCATTCCAACGGCAATTGTTGTGTACTTTTTAGTGCTTAGATACGGGTATATACGTAAAAAAAATAAAAGTACCAAAATACATAAAATTACAGCAAAATGTTTGAGCAAATCAGTGATTTTACATTGAAAAAGAACAAAAAACCCAGATTTCAGAAGCGCATAGAAATAGCCAACTAGGTATGTAGCAAATTCTACCCTAATCGTAGTATACCTCTTTACACCGCCACTTGCCTCCAACATCCCCAACTTGTTCTGTTCTCTGCTCTCTTTTTCACTAGTAATAATAATCTACTGGCTCTTAAACTTTTGTCTAGTGTTTGGCCGAACTTCTACTCTAATAGGTGTT